AAAAAAAAAAAAAAAAAAAAAAAAAAAAACCAGCAGTAGAGTTTCGCTTCCTAGAGATGTGAGGGCTCCATCGTGGGTGTACTGAGTGCCCATGTCCTGCTCAGAGGGTGGGACTGGAAGACCTTCATGGTCCCTTTCAAGTCTAAGATTTTGTGACTCTCTACCACTCTCAAAAGGAAATATTATTCTCATCTTCTTTTTCTTTCCACCAGCAGGAAAATAAATGTGACCTGCAAGCCAACTACAACAGATAGTAGAAAATCAGCACAAGGCAGCAGCTGCCAGAAAGGATGGAACGTGGGAAACTCTCGGCTCCCCCGTCAGACACAGGCAGCACTCCGGAAAACCATGAAGGAACCCATGAATGCTCAGAGTGTGGGAAGTCCTTTGCTCGCAGATCCCTCCTCTTGACCCACAGGAAGGTCCATGTGGGAAGTGGATCCAGTGAACGTTTGGAGGGTGAGAAATCCTTCTCTGGAAAACCCCCCAAAGATCTTAGAAGCCCCCCCAGACTAAAACCCTATAAATGTGATGAATGTGACTTATGTTTTCATCGAAAGTCACACCTTCGTACACATCAGAAAATCCACACTGGAGAGAAACCTTATCAGTGTCTGGAATGTGGCAAATTCTTCCGTGAAAAAGCCACCCTCAGAGACCACGAGAGAATTCACACAGGGGAGAAACCTTACAAGTGCTGGGAATGTGGGAAGAGCTTTTCTCAGAAATCAAATCTTTGGTTCCATGAGAAGATTCATGCAGGAATAACATCTTACAAATGCTTTGAGTGTGGGAAATGTTTCACCCTGAGTAAATATCTTCACAATCATGAGAAAACACACAGTGGGCAGAAAAACGAAAAGTGCCTCGAATGTGGGAAATGTTTTTACTGGAAATCATACCTGGTGAAACATCAGAGAATTCACACCGGAGAAAAACCCTATGAATGCCCAGAATGTGAGAGACGATTTGTTAATTCTTCTGTACTTCGGAGACACCAGAAGAGGCACAAAGGGGAGCTACCCTATCAATGTGGGGAGTGTGGGAAAAGTTTTCTTACACAAAGTGAGGTTCAGATTCATGAAAGAATCCACACAGGGGAGAAGCCATATAAATGTGGGGAGTGTGGGAAATGCTTTTCCCAAAAACACCACCTTGAAAGCCATCAGAGGGTCCACACTGGAGAGAAGCCGTACAAATGCATACAATGTGGGAAATCTTTTGCTCGAAAAGGATATCTTTGGACACATCATAAAATGCATAGTGGGGAGAAGTCATATCAATGCAACGAATGTGGAAAATTTTATATTACCACATCATCCCTTAGAGAGCATATAAAAGTTCACACAGGCGAAAAAAATTACAAATGTTTAGACTGTGGGAGAGCATTTGCTTGGGCAACTCTGCTCAGAAACCACAGCCGAATCCATACAGGAGAAAAGCCCCATAAATGCTCGGAGTGCGATAAATGTTTTTCTCGAAGAAGTACTCTTTTGAAGCATCAACAAATCCACACTGGAGAAAAAAACAAATGTTTAGAGAGTGGAGAATGTTTTGCCCAACCTTCAGCACTTCACACCCAAAATCACGCAGGAGGGTGGCCTTAAAAGTGTGCAGAGCGTGAGAAAACTTTTCATTTTAGATCACAGCTAAAAATGCGTCAGAAAGTCCATAGCAGAGATAAATCTTTTCAGTTGTGAACAATGCGGGGAATTATTTTTTTTCAAAAGTCACACCTTACTATATGTCGGGAATTTTACACAGTGACAGAAGAGAAATCCTACAATTGTTTGATGTGGGGAAAATATTTTTCCTAGTCATAACCTTAAATATCATCTGACAGTACATAATCAAGCCAAAGTGTCAGAACCCAGTTGTTAGCAGGGGTGTGTGATTGCTTTCTTATTTCGGGTTCTGCCATAACCCTGGGGGGAGGGGGGAACCACAGGTGCTACAATGTATCCTCTCTGCTTTCTTCTATCTGCTTGCTCTTTGATCTATTTCCCTTAATGCTTACTTGGGGTGAGAATGGAATGTGCCTCTGGCCCTCTGCCTTATCTCTAGCCGCAGAAGAGGCGCGAAGACCTAACAGCCTTGGGAACAGCGCCTTATCAACCCTGTTCCCACAGCGGATTCACACCTGGGGATTGGCCCGTTTGAATTGGCAGGATGGACTATTGGAGTGGGGTTTGCTATCTACTCCATTAACCTATCGCTTCGCGCGGGAAACTCTCAGATCCTGCCTTCCGTTCCTGCTGTCAACTTCTCCCAATAAAAGTTCCTTTTGGAATGAGGCTGTTTCAGGAGTTCTGCTTTGTTGGGAAGAGGGATTGTGGCAGGTCCTTACACAAAGTGTATAAATGTTAGAGAATAAGAATCTTTGCTCACAAACCAGGAGCACAAGTAACACAACACAACAATAACACATGAATAATTACAGAAGAGAAAAGCATTGTGAGTGTTGGGGAGCGTAGATAATATTTTGTGGAGTACGAGTAGTCCTTGCCTTATGATGGCAAATGTGAAGAGATTTCCAGTCATAAGTTGTCACAGATGCCACTTAAGCCCTCTCAGGGTCTCTTTCACCCCCTTATCCGCCCTCCATCCTCTCGTATTCCCAGTGGAAGAGACCCCCAAGAGACCCGGGACACCAGCTCTGAACTGGAACAGGAAATTCTCTTTAAGGATTGTAAAGTTAAACTTCCAAGGTTTCATGGAACTGTATGGAAATCCATAATCTTCTGGAGTGGAACAGCCTTAAGAATGAGGCTTAATAGTTTTCAATATTGTTTAAGTGGATGTTTATACTACATGGAAAGAGGAAATAGTTATGTTGTTGGGTATTTTTGTTAATTTTTACTGCATCTTTGTCGATCAATTTGTAGAAAATTGGATGAGGTATAGAATGAAGATGCACCAAGTTGTAATTGCAGAAATAATGATACATCACACACTCGGGATAAATCACCCTGTTGGACCACAGGTTACTTAGCGCATACATCGTAGATTGTGAGAAGCGCGACTTCGAATGATCCAATATTTGGATTAATGTGAATTGTAAATTGATACCTGGTTGCGCTTCATGTGATCCAAAATTCAGTTAATGTACAATTGTTTGGTGTGGGGAAAATGCTTTTCCTAGTCAAGTAACCTTAAGTATCATAATCAAGCAAAAATGCATAAATGTTGGAGTGAGTTTTGCTCACAAAGCAGCAGCAGTAGTAACTTAACCAGAGTGATTACACAAGACAAAATATTTACCAATATTGGGGGAGCCTAGTTAATGTATTGTAGAATACAGGTATAATCACAATTGGTAAAGGGATTGTCAAAGTCATAGCTCATTAAACACTGCAATGATAAGTATAAAGCCATTCTTCCAAATCGGGTTTTTTTTTTCACCAAAAGCTGCAAAAAATGCTAGAAATTAGCAAAAGACATTGCAAATTATGATCCCATGGTCGCACGATAATGCAAACTGGCTGTTAAAGCCAGCCGATTCCCAAGCACTCATAATTTAATCACAAAACCTTTGGGAACAGGGACACAATTTTAAAATAGCCAGAATTTATGGGCTCAACAAATTTATTTATTTGTTGTAATTTTCAACAGTTGTTCAGTGACGTCATAAGTCGAGGACTGCCTGTAATGAAACCTGGATAAATCCTGGAGGATTCGCAAAAGAGGGTCCTTGTATAAATGCTTGGAATATTGCAGAATACTAACCTCACTGAGATCTCTGGAGGCCTCAGACAGTGGTTCTCAACCTTTTTAATGCCGCGACCCCCAACCAGTCGTAAGTCGAGGACTAAACCGGTCGTAAGTCGAGGACTAAACCGGTCGTAAGTCGAGGACTACCCAACCGGTCGTAAGTCGAGGACTTTCCCTGCCCGGGAACGCCGCGCATGCGTGGTTCCGCCCCCTGCGCCGGCCGAGGCGTAGCTGGCAAGCGGCAGAGACGGAGCAGGCCGACCACCAGCTGGCCCAGCCCAAGGGAGGTAAGGCACCCGCCGGAAAAGGGGAAAAAAATGGCGGACCAAAAAAATGGCGGACAGCCTTGCTTGGCGACCCCCGTGAAATGGTCGATCGACCCCAAATGGGGTCCCGACCCACAGGTTGAGAACCACTGCCTCAGAGGATCCACAAGAAAAAGAAATTGTACGTTTGGTGTGTGGGAAATATTTTTTGGGGTCTGCAGGTAAAAATGCCCTCCAGAGAAACAGATGCTCGGACTACTGGACACTCCTCCCGGGTGACAAAGTGCATCAGAGCTTGGTTTGTGGAAAATCTATTCCTTGAAATGAGACAATTGTTGTACATTTGTGAGTCCCCACAGAGGAGCCCCAGAAATCTTTGTAGCATAGAAAACATTTTAATTTTAAATCCTGACTTTAAAAAAAAACAACAAAAAAACATTTCAGTCTATTGCGCAGCCCTGATAAAAGCATTCCACTATTCTACAGCATGTTGTTAATTTGTCCGGAGTGCCCTTTTCCCACATTGTTCACCACAGTGGGGGATAATGCTAAGGGAGGGCTTAGCTAACTTCCTGGGCTAAAAGGGAATCATAGTTTAAGGTCTGACTCTTGGGCAGCGAAGTCCCAAAGCATCATGGCAGCATCCAGCCTCTTCAGACTTAGCAGATCCCCCCCCCCGCCTCACACACACACCCCGCCCCCGGAAGTCGAGATTGAAATATTTTGCACCTGTACTTGCTTTATAAGAGAAATGGGATGAAATGTTTTGTGCAGAGGCTTTTCTGAGAGATAACAAGAAGGAATTCCAGAAGGAAGGTGAAATTCTGGCTGAGTTATGAGAAGACAGGAAGGACATGTTGACAGGACATGAAGACAACAAACTTGGAAATTATGTTTGCTTAAATGTGACAGAGGAGGTGGGGGAGACCACCGCCCCCCACAAACACCTGGAGGGATCTATAGGTTAGGAAAGGTAGAGAGGGCTGGAAAAGGGGCAGGTAAAGGTTTTGAGGCAGACT